GGAGGGAGTCGGGGTGGTGGAGGGATGCTGAAAGACTAGAGATAATGAAGGTAAGGCTGCTTTGATTATTTATAGAGGTTCTCTCTTGTGCTGATTGGATAGATGGTGTAATTACTGATGATGGACTGGCCGTGTTATCTGCGCGTGCTCCTCCCGAAATGTGTTAATAAAACATCACTGAGAGAGCTTTCGGGATGATGAAGACACGTTGGCGCTCTATTTTCTTCAAGGCCTTATGCAGAGTTCACACTGCACGATTTTAGCCCGATTTTTCACTCGCTGACCGGTTTTGCGAAATCGCTGACAAATGCCCAAAATTGGAGGCAAATCGGTGCTCGTTCACGCGAGTGACAATCATGCAGTGTGAATTATCAAGATACAGGGCAGCGGGAAGTTCGGGGAGGAGTTATATGAAACGTAGTTTGCGGACCAGTGTTGCCAAATCAGCGATTGCCGCCGGTTGTTTTTCATGTCAGCAGGTTGAAGCGACCCCAATAATGTGACCCCTATAAACAGATAGTCGTTCAGTGTGAAACCAACAGTGATGCGACGTCTTTGAAAATAGTGCAGTGTGAACTCGGCATTAGAGATCAGCCCTGCCTTCGTGCCTGAGGTTGTTGCGTGCAGCGCTGTGCTTCACAATCTCGCTCTTCTCAATGGGGACATCGTTGAGGCAGAGAATGAGGAAGACTGTGTGTGGCTGCTCTCCATGAGCATGACTACCTATAAAATATTCAAAACAATTAAAACATTTTACACTTCATGTTGTCCATTTCTTGCATAATTTCATATGTTTACAAGTACATGCTAATTTGTGTTGTAGCTTTATCACTTTTGTGGTGTAGTGGGCTAAACCACTTAACTAAGCAGAAGGTTGCCGGTTTGCAACCACCAGTGTGTCCTTGAGCAAGGTTCTTTACTCCAGTTTACTCCAGGGGGATTGGGGGTCCCTGTAATAAGAACACTGTACGTCACTTTGGATAAAAGCATCAGCCAAATGCATAAATATAAATAAATGTAAAAGATTTCAGTACAGACTTTTTTAAAAGTGTCTTGGGCACAAAAGCCTAATTACAATATGAATGCATACATACCGGACCCCCCAATACAGTAAAACTGCACATTTTAGAGTGACCTTTTATTGTGGCCAGCCTAAGGCACACCTGTGCAATAATCATGCAGTCTAATCAGCATCTTAATATGCCACACCTGTGAGGTGGATGGATTATCTCGGCAAAGGAGAAGTGCTCAAGTGTGCAAGTGAGTTCAGATCATGAAAAATGGGGGCAAAAACAAAAGTGTTGCATTTATAATGTTGTTCAGTGTATATTCTATTTTAAAATATGCTTTTTTTTTACATAACCCAACCCAAATGTGTAAATGATCAGAAGATGCGTTTGTTACATAATTTATTACTCTTAATTTTTTTTTTATAATTTCAAGGAGGCGAAGGAATCTTTCCTCCCTTTCCTTTGCCTCCATGTCTCTCCTTTCCTCTCTCTCACGTGTTTCCTGCACAGCAAAATCCCCAGAGTTAAATCAACTCTGCTCAGAGACCAACGTCACTGCACCCGTTTACCAAGAAATTTTGGAGCACTTCATGCTTCCTTCTGCTGACCAGCTTTTTGAAGATGCTGATTTCATTTTCCAGCAGGATTTGGCACCTGCCCACACTGCCAAAAGCACCAAAAGTTGGTTAAATGACCATGGTGTTGATGTGAGCCAAAATCATCACAATTAAAAGAACCAAAGACTTAAAGTACTTCAGTCTGTGTGCATTGAATTTATTTAATACACGAGTTTCACAATTTGAGTTGAATTACTGAAATAAATGAACTTTTCCACGACATACTAATTTATTGAGATGCACCTGTACTCTGAGCAGAGTTGATTTAACTCTGGGGATTTTGTTGTGTGGCGCCATCGGTCTTCTCTTTCTCTGGATTCTCTTTCTCGTCTCTCCTCTTTCTCTTGTCTTTCTCGTTCTCATCTGTCTTCTTTCTCCTCCATTTCTCTCCATCTTCTTTCCTCCCTCTCAGCTGCTTCCCGCTCTCTCTCCGCTTCCCTCTCCGTCATCTCTTTCATCATATCCTCCATATTCTTTGCTCTTTTTTTTAGGTCTTGCTGGGGCTGGGCTCAACTGAGGATGAAGAGGCCACAGCAACATCCGGACCAGATGAGGCAACAAGGGCAGGTGGAGTGATGGAGGGTCTGCCCCCAATTGCCTCATCTGGTCCGGCTGTTGCTGTGGCCTCTTCATCCTCAGTGCCCACACCTGTCTGCGGATATTTCATATCCTATAAAAATGCAGAAACACAATACAAAAGCTGTCACTCTAATACCACAGTGTGATTTGATTTCTGTATTAGAAGTAACAAAATTATCTTACTTTATATTTTTGTTTTAGGTTTTCCCATTTAAAAAATTATTATTATTATTATTTTTTTTACAAATGCCGCAGTAATTTGGCCTTGCAGGCCCTGTTCCACCACAAAAGCTCTTCGAAGGCACAGAAATCAAGAATCAGAGAAGTGCTGTAATAACTCTGTTTGAAATTACAATAATTATAATAAACTGCAATTTAAGATTTACATAGATTTTAAAAATTCATTTACGTAGTATACTCACTCAAAGCCTTTGATAGCAGCATTTCGCTTTCCGGTGAAGAGGGCTTCATTAGCCACTCTCCACCGTATTAGCACATGTGTGTGCTCATCTGTCTCTGTAACATCCAGACAAGCACTCAGACGTCTATTTCATTTCTATTAGTGTTATCGAACATTTTCCTGTCAGATGTTAGACATTCAGTAATCGTCTTTAAGATGTATATGGTTTATGTAAATTCAGTTTGGTGACGTATGTGTGCTTACTGGAGCTCCGCTGTTCGCTATGCAGTACATAATCTCGGCTACTCTTTTATGAATACTGAGGTTTCGGACATACTACTTTCTTCACCTACTTTTTCCCCCCCTATTATATAGTAGGTAAGTAGGCATATTAGAATGCAAATTAAGTATACGTACGACCGAATCTCGCGAGAATTAGGGCAATTTTCGCCTACTCTTTTATGAATACTGAGGATTCAAACATACTTATAGGGCTACCAATCTTCCGTATGCCGACATACTCCCAGTGGAAGGAGTAAAGCTTGCATATGTTGCATGAACAAGCAGATGCTTTTACATTTGAAAGAGTTGCATCTGAAATAACCCCTCAACCAACTCCTGAAAATTGGATTGCAATGCATCTTGAATGTGCCTTGGAAGGCAGTTACACTTGGTCTTTTCATGAATTAATAGTTATGATGGGCAAGTGTAAATATCCCCAGTCACTCAAGTTTACTTACACATCATATGAGTCACCAAAGCGAAGCTAACAAAATGATAGCACCTTGAAGCTGTCCCAAAAAATCCACAGCAACACTGTGACGGTTTTGCCACATCAAACAAAAACCAGTTTAATAATTGTTTAAAAAACTGTAGGTTACCCCTCACCTTTATTTTCAGCCTTGATTTCATTGTGTATAAAGTCGTTCTGGCGGTTTCCGAGGACAAATGCAAGAAAGGACAGGATGAGAGCATCTAGGATGCCGATGATGGCCAGTATGTAAGTCCAGCGCACTGAACAGTTGCCCAGTGTGTACTTTCCTGTCTCCTCTCCGCACATATCTCGGATGACCTCTGCATCCCAGCCATCTGGGAAAATCAAACAGCCCAGCACCAGGCACACAGCTGCCAAAAGAGAAAGGTTGAGAGACTGAGACAAAGGATTGTATCACAAAAATCTAAATAAAAACATAAATCAATTTAAAAAAGAAACAGGGATCAGAGTAGGTGTGTAAAATAAATGTACACTAGTTACACATACCCAGGTGAAAAAGTACTCTTAAATGTATTAAAAATGTAATAGGCATAAATTCAAAATCCAAATTCAGATAGTATATTTATAGTACAATTGTACTCCTAACATGCTTACTTGAAGTGCATTAAAAATGTATTGAATTGCATTTTAATATATTTAAAAAAAAAGTATACTAGAAATACTTTGGTAATACATATATGCTTAGTTACGCTTTGAAGAAATATGCTAAAACACAAGCAAACTTTTCTGACATTTTAGTGTATTTACAGAATACATATTTTACTCTTACTTAAAGTATATTTTATGTTTCCTTTTTATAAGAACGTAGTAAAATGATACAGCTTTTAGTGTTAAGGTTTAGGTTTAAAGTATATGTATCTTATTTATAACCATATCTAGACATACTGCTATATATTTTAACTATGTCATTTAGAAGCTCAGGTGTGTTTGGCTAACGTGCGTGACAAAATCTGACTGGTTCTTGAGCATCAGGCAAGTGCGTCTGAGCTTCGGTTTAGCAGTTCTGATGTGCGTGTGTGTCTAAATTAAAACCGTAAAATCGTATAGAGAGATCACGTCTCTTCAGAGGACTTGGAAGAAACCACTTGATTCATATGGATTACTTTTGCGATGTTTGAAGCCATGAACTGTGAAGAATTTTGGTGACTTTCAGTGGAGGGACATAAATCTTTGTTTTGAAGATGAGCGAAAGTCTTAGTGGAGGGACATAGATCTTTGTTTTGAAGATGAGCGAAAGTCTTAAAGGGTTTGGAACATCATAAGGGTTTGTAACATGAAATCGCATCATATGACCCCTTTAATCTTATATCAATTAATCTCAAAGATTTAATTCTGGCTGACTTATTTCCTAATAAACTTGATTACAGAAAAAAAATTGACCAATCAGAGCCAAGCTTTTCAAATCGGCTTTGCAGATAATAGTCCAATCACACCGCCATATGCTGTTGAGATAGTAACATGCATTCAGCAGAAATCATCCCAGTTTCACTATGTTTTATTTTCATGACTCAGGTCAACTTCCGCCTCCCGCTAACAACTTAAAGGTCCCATATTGTACACCTTTCTGGAGTTTTATTTTAGGGTTTGATGTCCTTAAGAATATATATTTGCGGTATAAGTACCAAAAACCATCTCAATATATTTTTACAGCTCCTTTCTCAGGAGCTCTGCTGAGAACAGGTCGATTTTGGCTTGTCTAATTAATATTCATGAGCCTCTCTTCTGATTGGCCTGTTGTTTTCTGAGTGATGCACGGCCTGGCCAACCACAGGTAACTAGGGTCAGCCGACGTCACAGCGCTAGCTGGAGGCAGCAAAACAAAGGGGAAACTGGAGGTGGCCCATTCAAACCAGCGCAGATTCGGCTACATAAGGAGCTTAAAATATCATCTTGTGATTTTGGGTGCCAGAATCGACGTAATACAGCCTCAAAGTAGAAATTTGAGCGCATATCTGCTGCCACTGCCAGACAAAAAACCGCGACAGCTGTGGTTAAACGCGATAAAACGAGCAGACTGGACAGAAAGGATCGTCAAAACGTGTTGTTGCTGCTCAGCAATAGCATGGATGCGGTGTTGTCTGGGGGTTTGGCAAAAGGAGAGTGGGACGGTGGGTGGTGCTCGGGGTGGTGACTGAAGGCGGTGACTGTGTCGTTCTGACGTCAACTTTTTACGGAAGTCACAACGGTTCGTGAAAAATCACAGCTACTTTAAGCAGGCTGTGTGAATTTTACTGTGGACTGACTGTTTTGAAACTTATATGGTAGTTAAATAGCCCCTAGACCTCAGTTATCATGAAAAAAGCCAGGAAATTTCAGTTTTGACAATATGGGACCTTTAATAGGTTCTTAAAAGGTGTGTCTGCTAAGTCGAAGCAGACACTGACAGATGAAGATATTGCACGCATAAATACTTCTTCTTGGTGGTAGGTGTTTACCAGCCATTTGTTTAACTAACTTTGAGCTCACTTCTGAGTTTTTCCTTGGTGCATGCTGGTGTGCATTTGCAAATGTTAGCTAACAGGTGGAATGCTAACGTTAACCGCTGTAAAGCTAAACTTACACTAACTAGCTAGTTATCGTGCAGCCACTGGGTATATGGTTGCTTAAAGTCTAGGTAGTAGCATTTGTTTGTCATATAACAACTATAAAACATCGTCCAATGTATTGGCAGAAAGAATAATTTATCGTTATAGCATGTACATCATTAACATGCTCTTTTTTTAGTTAAGATGAAGTTTTTTTGTAGTTGTTTTCTCAGCAGTTTGGCCTAATTGTAATGAAGTAAAAGTTAAATATAAATGATTATTTCATTGTGAAATATTAGTTAAAATTAGTTGTTTTCAGATCAGCTGCTGTTGCTATAGAAGACAAAATGAAATCAGATCAGAGAGACAAGCAAATAAGAAAGTGGTAAGTATGTTTTAAAGGGGTCATATGACATTGCTAAAAAGAACATTATTTTGTGTATTTGGTGTAATGCAATGTGTTTACGTGGTTTAAGGTAAAAAAAAAATATTTATTATTTTTACAAAGCTCATCGGTCTAAAAAGCGCGGTGTGCTCTGATTGGCCGGCTATCCAGTGCGTTGTGATTGGCTGAATACCTCAAGCGTGTGACGGAAATGCTACGCCCCTTACCAGATTCAGGAAACTTTTTTCCGTAAAATGCGCTGCACACACTTGAATACTTGGGTTGTACTGTTCTGGAACAGTGTTGTAAATAAAAATTAACCACTGATTTCTAGTTGTGTCCTAGAAGGCCAAACAAAGTAGTTTGGCTTTCGCAACGAAACACACAGCGTCTCCACGACATTGGCGGCGGCGGAAACAATACTACAGTGAGAATAAAAGTTACGCCTTCTTTCTTTGTGTAAACATTTGGCCGGTGTTATGCAAATCTTCCCACACAGTGACGTAGATATGTGGGGGTGTGTTTGAACGAGGCATTTTAGGAAGGCGTGGCTGATCGTTCACTTTTATAAAGAATATCTATTTGGGTTTGAGACTTTAATCTTTGCGACTTTACGGATCTTCTATGTGCACGAACAGCATTTAACACTCCAAAGACAAAGGAAAACATGAAATCCTATCATATGAACCCTTTAATCTTATATCAATGAATCTCAAAGATTTAATTCTGGCTGACTTACTTCCTAATAAAGTGACTATTTTGGCTCTGTCATGCTACCTTTGGATTCAGCACTACTGTTGTAGAGATGTTGGGCCTCTTTAACCTTATGTTCAATGTAACAGTATTGTATGGTGATGACAGGCAAGAAAATAAAAACGTACGCTCATGTCAAGCTTGATGAGGATTTAGTCCAAGCTTTGAAAGGTAAACTGAGAAGAGTCATAGAAATTCTAATGCATATCTATGCAAATTATAATACATCCGATATTCAAAAACAACACTCAAAACCACTGATTAATTATTTTGGCTTTCACAGATTCTGTGATGCATTTTTCAAACACCACAGTATCTGCATTGCAAGCCCTCAGATGCAATAAATGCAACAAGTCGTACTCAAAGAAAATTGATCCTCCACTTGAAGATGAAGATGGTGACATTTCAGATGTTCTGTTTCGTTGTTTGGTTTAGCCATTTGCAGGCTTAACTTTGTAAAAAAAAAAAAAAGCACTTTATTCACTTCTGCGCTTTATTGTTTTTCAGTAACTTCTTTATTTGTGTGTGTGCAGAAAATTGCATTATGCATTTTTATTCAGAGAAGGAATATTCATAGTGTACTTTTCCAGTAATACAGGTATAACAGAAATGTTCTACAAATTGATTGAAGTAGTTCTGTTATAGTGTCACAATCATCAGCTGGAGTACCCATGAGCTCCACCAGAAGGCACTGCTTAGTACTCCTTGCCATTCCATCACGAATTACAGTACATTTCCCATAAACATTTGCCTGGACTCATTGTTGTGTGATCACTTCCACCTCTGTGTCATTAGCTTCTTTAGGTCTGTGTATATAATGGTGCGTTCAAGTCATGTCGGATAGATCGTATTTACGAGTTGAACGCACATGAACGCCACCACAAAGTGGTTATTACGAGTGGGAGCTCTTCATTTTCTATAGTTAACAGACCCTGTTGTATTTTCTTGTAATTTATTAAAAGAAGGTACACCGCCATCTTGTGCCGACTAAACTGACTTGAACGCACCTGATGTCGTGTAATTACGACTTGTCAACTCGTAAGTACGAACGTCCCAGGAGGACTTGAACGCAGCATTAGGTCTGTGCTTGAGTTGTTGTTTGTTGTGTTACGGCCCAAAGTGTTTTTGTCCACCAGGTGGCGTTGTTCTGTGGTTCATCTCCAGAGTGAGCGTCAGGCATAGGTGTGGAGTGTTACCTGTGATTGCGCTTGAGGGCAGCGAGTTCATGGAGTGCGAGCGCCTTTCCTCTTCAGTTCTGGCTTGGCTTGCTTTTCTTTCTTTGTTTTAATTTTTGCATTATTATTTTGAGTTATTTTTAATTAAATGTTAATTTGTTAAATTTCTTCCATCTGTGGCCTCACCTTTTGTAATGTTGCTTCACCCAGAGCCAGGTGGACGTAACAGTTGGTTGTTGTTCCTGTATGCGTGTTCCTGGTTGATGCTCTCTCTTGCCTTCTCTGAGTGGATTATGCTCCTTATTCCCCTATGTGGATTGCACCATGGTTCTTGGTTTGGATTACCTGTGTTTGTGGTTTAATAAACTTTTGTGCTTTCATTTGGATTCTCACTCCTCCTCGTCCTGGCTCACACGTTACAGAACGACTGACCAAATATGAATCCAGCAGCACAAATTATATGTCTCCATCAAGAAGATCGGCCCATCGAGGACTGCGTGATGGACTTTGTT